GGCAATAAATGTTAAATGTGGAAGTAATGCTGAACCAAAATTCAGCTCCAAACACACCGAAGTGAAAAAACACGTTTTAAGCAAATACTGCGTGCGGAAAAGCTTGTCTCAGCACGTTTTTTGTATTTTGTTAAACGCGATATTTAAATTATTAATAATTATAAAAGAAAACAACTAAGTCAATTTAAATTGAAAATGACTATAAATTAGTGGATTGATTTATTTTATAAAAATCCGAACAGAAATAAAAATTGTTGTACAGTGGGAACTGTCCACGAAGAAAGAAACATTTGCATTAACTTTACCTCTTTTTGCATTTTAAAACAACAAACAATTTTTTTATTACAAACAAAAAAGCATTGCAAACGTGCAGCTGAGAGGTGATTTAAAATAAAGACAAAAAATATTTAAAGTAATCAACATATAAACAATTTAAAAGAAAATAATTGAAGTGTGCTGGTGGTTTCAAAAGGTACACAGTTGTAATACGAACAAAACATAATATAACATTTGGAGGAACTCAGGGCGCGACCAGTCACTTTCGCGACAACAGGAGAATTTTTTTATATTATTCTTAGATTATTTAAATTTACAATTGTATTGCTAGAATTAAATAAATTTTTTGAAATAATATTATTTTTGTATTATTATTGTTGCGATAGCCCTCCCTTGCAAACTCTTTATTAGAAACCTATTACCAATAACGGCTCTGCAATAGAAACTTAAACATATACAGGAACGCCATAGAGTTGTTCATAGTGAAAAAATGAATGAAGACCAGCTGAAAGCCGTAATTGAGGCTGCCGTTAGTGGTGCTCTTGCCTCACAGAGGCAAATCTTTGAAAAACAATTAGATGAGTTAAGTAAACGTCTAAATAAAGTTACAGTAAATACCCCGGATGTAGAAATCTATGAGGAAACAAGAATAATCAGTGGAATAAAATGTGAAGAATCACTTGACATTGTCAAATCTCTGCCTGACTTTGAGGGCAGGCAAGAAACTTACGTGTCATGGCGACAAGCGGCTCACGTTGCTTATAAATTATTTCAAAACCATAATGGGAGCTCGAAACATTACCAGGCAGTTGCCATTATACGAAATAAAATAAAAGGATCGGCAGACATGGTTTTAGCATCCTTTAACACTGTTCTCAATTTTAAAGCTATAATAGCACGTCTTGACTTCACATACGCTGATAAGCGGCCTATTTACCTCATCGAACAGGAGATGTCTACCCTACGTCAGGGTAACCTGACTCTTTTACAATTCTATGAACAAGTGGAACAAAAATTGACTTTGCTTACCAACAAAGTCATTATGACTTATGATGGAACCTTGGCAGCATCCTTAAATGAAAAATACAGAATGGATGCGTTGCGCATATTTATTTCAGGTACAAAAAGGGCCTTAAGCAACATTCTTTTCTCGGCACAGCCAACCAATTTACCCGCAGCATTAGCTCTGGCACAAGAAGTTGAGGCAAACCATGAGCGTTATAAATTCGCAACCCACTTCGCGAGGAGTCTGGAAGATGAAGCTCACAGAACTGAACAAAGGCTTCAAAATAATGAAAGAAGTATGGGCAGATATAGTCAGGTAAGCAATTACGTTAAAAGTAATCAAGTTGATAATCAAAACAAAAATCCATATTTTATAAGACAAAATACTGAAAAAAGACAAGTTGAAAAAATGGACGTAGATCCAACCTCATCTAGGACGAGACACTGGAACAATACCAAAACTCAAAGGAGTAATTATAATACGTCAGAGAAATACAACAACACTATTTTCGGGGTTCAATATAAGGACCAAAATATGAAAAGAAAAAATGACTCTGAAAGATTAACAGGGCAAAAAATGCAGAGAGTGAATTTTATGCCACACGAAAGCATTTCTCAAACACAAGAAATGAGGAAATACGAGGAACTAGCCGAAGAATCACTAGTAGAAATTGATGACGATGCTGATAGTTTTGACCATGTTAATTTTTTAGTGGAAACTCCCTGCTACCATTCATAGAGCGGAATATTGCAGGGAAAATTATAAAACTGCTGATTGACACCGGTGCGTCAAAGAATTACATTAAACCTCTTAAAGAGTTAAGATATACAAAACCAGTAAGCAACACTTTTATAGTAAAATCAATACATGGTTTTAATGAAATCAAAGATAAATGCTTCGTGAACCTGTTTAATATTAATAGCACCTTTTTTATATTACCCGATCTTACAAAATTTGATGGAATCATCGGCCTCGATTTGTTAACACAAATCGATGCAAAAATAGATTTTAAAAATAAAAATTTGAAGTATAATACGGGATCAGAACCGATCCAGTTTTTAAAATGTGCGAATGTAAATTTCACTCGAATTGAGGATATTAAAATTCCAGAAAAAGTTAACGAAAAATTTCAAAAATTATTAAAAAGTGAACAAACGGTATTTGCTGATCCTGACGAATTACTTCCGTTCAACACAAATATTGTAGCTACCATTCGAACTGAGTGTGACGACCCCATTTATTCGAAACTATATCCTTATCCTATGGGCGTAGCAGATTTTGTGAATAAAGAAGTGCGTGACTTGCTAAGAAATGGTATAATTAGACCATCTAGATCGCCATACAATAATCCAATATGGGTTGTTGACAAAAAGGGAGTTGATGAACATGGCAACACAAAAAAACGTCTTGTAATTGATTTCAGAAAATTAAATCAAAAAACGATAGACGATAAATATCACATCCCTAACGTGATGGTGATACTCGCCAACTTAGGAAAAGGAAAATATTTTACAACTCTCGATTTAAAATCTGGCTTTCACCAAATAGTTTTGGCAGAAAGAGATCGTGAGAAAACTGCTTTTTCGGTCAACAGCGGAAAATACGAATTTTGTAGGCTACCATTTGGCTTGAAGAACGCACCCAGCGTATTTCAAAGGGCTATTGATGACGTGCTTCGAGACCAAATTGGAAAGACATGTCACGTTTACGTCGACGACGTTATCGTATTCTCAAAAACAGAAGAAGATCACATTAAACACATAGCGTGGGTCTTGAGGAAGTTGAACGAAGCCAATACGAGGATTTCACGGGAGAAGTCCCATTTCTTTAAGGAAAGCGTTGAGTACTTAGGTTTCACGGTAACTGGAGAGGGTATTCGAACAAGCCCAAGTAAAATAGAGGCAATTCGAAACTATACTGAACCAACGACATTATTTAATGTCAGGTCATTTATGGGCTTAGCGAGCTATTACAGATGCTTTATAAGAAACTTCGCCTCAATAGCCAGGCCACTTACAGATATCTTTAAGGGCGAAAATGGTAGAGTTAGCACTCACCAATCGAAGAAAAAACAAATAGAGCTAAACAACAGTCAGCGTCAAGCTTTCAACAAGCTCAAGAAAATCTTAATGTCGGAAGACGTCTTGCTCCAGCATCCAGATTATGGAAAACCATTCGACCTAACAACGGATGCGTCATCTTTAGGATTAGGCGCTGTACTATCACAAAGCGGGAAGCCGATAACTATGATATCGAGGACCTTGAAAGACAACGAAATGAATTTCGCTACCAATGAAAGGGAATTACTCGCAATTGTTTGGGCTCTAAAGAATCTCAGAAATTATCTATATGGTGTTAAAAATTTAAATATTTTTACTGATCATCAACCTCTGTCGTTTGCGGTTTCAGACCGAAACCCCAACGCGAAAATTAAGCGGTGGAAAGCGTTCATAGATGAACATAATGCCCAAATTCTTTATAAGCCAGGAAAAGAAAACTACGTAGCCGATGCGCTATCACGGCAGAACATTCATGCGCTTGAAAATATGCCTAGTTCTGACGCAGCCACCATCCACAGCGAATTATCAATGTCTTATGCAATTGAAGCGACTGATAAGCCAGTGAATTGTTTCAGAAACCAAATCGTCATTGAACGAACAAATGCGACATCGACTCGTACTTTTATAATCTTCCGCGAAAAAACTAGACACTTGATAAATTTTTTCAATGAAGAAGAACTATTGGAGAGTGTTAGAGAAGCAATAAAACCTGACGTAGTAA